GCGCCCCCGCCCCCTGCTCCGGGCCGCTGCCCGCCAGCAGACACCTCAGCGCGCCCGCTCCAGCGGCCACTTCCGGCGTGCGGAGACCTAATCCTGCCGGCTGGGAAACTCGCGCCACACCTCGGCCATCGCCCGCGGGGGACTAGGATTGTGGGGACACCGCCCGGCTGGTGGGAGGGGGGAGGCAGTGAGGGAAGCACGTGTCTTGGTGGGCTACGATGTTCGGTTATAATGACAGCAGTGTTAGCCTCTGGGCGAATCGGGCAGTTGTCAGTGACAGTGGCAGCGAGTGCCTGTTCTGTAGGAGGCTGGGTTCGAGGATGTACCGTGGCCCCACTTTACACTAAAGATACTGGCATAGGTGCAGGTCACACACAGCAAGTGGCAAGGCCTACTGAACCTGGGAGTTACACTCAGGCGCAGAACCGTTGCACTAAAACGCCCTGACCTGTTCAGTGTCTGGACTTTGGGAGCGTTTTAGGGCCCCTAAGTAACTCTTTTAACTTCTGGCTACCGCCCTACTATACCCCAAGACTTTATCAAGGCCCAAGTCTTCCTTCCTCTCTCGAAGGAGGGGCACATATCCATGCAGGAAGCATGGCAGCAAGCTGGAGCTGTGACTCAAGCCAGAGTCACTCTGGCTTTATCTGATGCGGCATGGCAGGTGCAAGGCCCTGCTCCATTGCCGCGGGGTTGGGGGGTAACTAGCACTTGCTTGCAGAGATGATTAACAGGAACTGCAGGGTTTCTTGACTCAAGGAAGCTGAGTCCTCAATAAAGGGAAGCCTGAGGTATAAGGAAAAGTAGATATAAAAAGTGACAACTCCTTCTGGGACTTGCTCGAGTTGTAGAAAGTCAGAGTGAGGTCAGAAAAGGTGGAGTCAGAAAGAGACTTGTTTTGTTTTTTTACTTAAGCCCAGGTGGCTTCACTGATAATTTCCACTAAACCAGAAGAATTAATACTCATTCTTTAAGAATTCTTCCCCCAAACTAGCAAAGAGAATACACCCAACTAATTTTCTGAAGTATTATCCTGATACCAAAAACAAAAGGCATCACAAGAAAACTATTCTTATGAACACAGACTTAGAAATCCTCAACAGAGGACTAGCCAACGCAATCCAGCAACATTGGGCTTGGAGCTGCATGGTCGGCATTTGAAACCAGCAGCAGCTCTGCAGGAGAAAGGCTGGGCTTTCGACTCCTGTCAACAGTTAGGGGCTCGGACACTCACAGGGGGCCACTGGGAGTGAGCTTGGCTCCATAGCAGCGAGTTTGGTTGTTACCACAACCAAGCGACATCTATCCTAGGCATGTACGTTTGGTTCATCATTTGAAAAGAAAATCCAAATCGCAGTAGGTGTAAAAAAAGAAAATATAACACTTTCATGATAAAACCACTGAAAAAACTCGGAGTAAAATGAACTTCCTGAGTCTTAGAGGGTATTTATGAAAAACCTACAGCTAACTTATCATACTTAATGGTGAAAGGTTGAAAGACTCGACTTAATTACTGTCCCCGGTAATTACTGACTCGACTTAATAACTATCCCTTACAAGCTTCATGAAACTGTGTGCCAGCTATCATTTATTGCCTCTGGGCTCCAAATTAAGGAGCCTTGGTGACATAGTGGATTATGCATTGTGCTGCTAAACCACAAGGTCTGCAGTTTGAATCCACCAGCAGCTCTGTAGGGCAAAGTCGAGGCTTTCTGCTGCTCATAAATATTTATAGCTTCAGAAATGCACAGGGACAGGTTGAGCATGCACACAGGGTTACTCTGAGTCAGAATTGATGCGATGGCAGTGAGCTTGAGTTTGGAGGCTCTAAATTGATCATTCACCACCTATTCTGAGAAAATCCATCTGAGCCTTTTACTTTTCCTCTGCCAGCTGTCATAATGCTAAGTTTTGTTGGTAGGAAGGAAGGCTTGATGCAAAATGGAGAAACATTGCAGGAGTAATGGGCTTTACTTCCAGGTCCAAATGTGCCCACTGCCACATTCCTGCAGTGCGGTGGACTCTACCTTATGTGGCTCTAGCTTTGCTTGGTGCCCAGAAGTAGTAGCAAGTGGCCAGCAGTTTTCTTTAGGACCCCATTGGGCAGTTTTTAAAGAGTCTTCCAGGAGGTACCTCTCCAGGAATAGCTTTCCCCAGCACCTTAGAAAAGACAGCAAGTTCTAGAGGGCAGATTTACAGCAATTTCAACTGGCACCACGTTCCACTGCATTTCTGCCATTTAGTAAGCCATGGCCATGCTCACTCCAACAATTTCTCAATCTGCCTGAGCTGCTGAGGGGACAGACTCTTCTCTGGGTACTGCATCCCCACACTAAGGATAGGGGCTATTCATTATAGCTGCATCGTTGTCATCTTTTTCAGTCTCTTTTTACTTCTCACTAGCCAATGACTTATTATTCCAATGCTCTCTTATAGTTAATTCTTTATATTGAACTTGTCCTGTTCAAATTACTCTGAGCATATGCACAGCCCGCCCATCGGAGCCCAATGCATTCAGTCTGGATTTGGGGGTGGATGAATCTGTGCTGTTGCGCTGATGATCCTGTGGCTTGTTGTACAGATTCATAAAGTTTTTTATCTGGCCCAGGGAATCTTTTGGTCTACTCTGGTATCTCTGGAATTATAGCAGGCGAACATGCTTGTATGCGTAGTCATCTCTTTTAGAGTTCTGTAACTTTTTGTTATCCTCCAGGAAGTCGGAGGCATCCTGGTGGTGCAGTGATTTCTCATTGGGCTGCTAACCGCAAGGGCTGAAGTTTGAAAACACCAGCAGCTCCACTGGAGAAAAGACCACGCTTCTATTTCCATAAAGTGACTGTCTCGGAAGCTCACAGAAGCAGTCACTACAGAGGCACTATGAGTCAGGATCGACTTGATCACAGTGAGTTTGGCTTTTGGAGGAAGTTGAGGTTTTTCTCAGACAATTTCCGGACAGAACTTTACTTTCTCTTGCAGGTGATAGGGGAAAACTTGGAGGGTTTTGGAGCAAAGAACATGAGCAGGGTTTTTAAAAGACAGGTAGTAGGCTTTGGGAAGAAGGATTACAGTAGAAGAGTGAAGAGGGTGGTCAGTCAGAAGGCTGTGACAAAGGCCTGCTCTGTGGCTAAGACATTGGAAAAGAGAGACCGTTTCTTTGGAATTCAACAGAGCATTCTCTGATGTATCTTGGGCATTGAGTTCTGCTAGCAAAACAAATCTATTGCTGCTATTGTTAGGAGTCAAAGTAGAAATGTCTGACCAGGTCATATACAAGATCTCTTGCTATTCTGTCCTCCAGGAGTCCTCCATCTCTACCCTTTCTCCATCCCCTTACACGTAAGTACTGTTATCATTTTATCAACGAGCAAATTAAGGCACAAAGAAATTCAATGGATACAGAATCTATTCCATGTTATTCCTAGGCAAGTAAAGAATGTACAATTTGGTGGAATTTTTAACTCTATCTACTCCCCTACTGATTCTTTTTTCAAGGTTTTAAATTATTTTAATTGGTCATATATGGTATAAAGTGACTACCAAAGTGACATGATACCCCCTTAAGAAATTAGAGTCAATATGAACTAGAAAGTTGTTCTATGTAGTTTTAAGTAACTCCAATTGGTTTTATATTGTGACAAACACCAGGCCCAAACTTAATGTCATTTCAAATAAGAAAAAAGCCCTTAGCTTATAAAGGAATGTAGTTCAGATGGGAGTTTGGGGACCAAATGGTATTTTATGGAATTCCTAACACATCCAGAACAGTATTTGGTTAGAAAAAAAATGCCTTATTTTCTCCCATAAATCCTATGTTTAAGAAGTTATGCTTTTCACAAGAATGAAGAAAATGTTCTAAAACTGTTTGTAGTGATGATTGTACAACTTTTCTTGATGTGACTGAACTATTCAATTGTGTGATATGAATTATTATGCCAATAAAACTTTTATGTGACAAAATAATAATAATTTATGAATTATGACGGGTTCATGAGGGAGTGGGGAGGGGGGAGACGGGGGAAAACGAGGAGCCGATATTAAGGGCTCAAGTAGAAGGCAAATGTTTTGAGAATGATGAGGGCAACAAATGTACATATGACTTGACACAATGGATGTATGTATGGAATGTGATAAGAATTGTACGAGCCTTCAATAAAATGGTTTAAATGAAAAAAAACTGTTTTTATGAAAAGTGATTAAAAAATCTGTACCAAAAAAATCTGTACATTTGTATAGGAGTAACTGTAAGCATCTATGTTTTGGGATTAAATTCTGTATTTGAATAACAATATTAAGCATGGATTCTTTTACTGTATATTTTTGTATCTAAATCTCTCGCTACATATTTCATTTGTAATTTTTAGAAACCAATAAATTAAACTTTTAAGTTTCACTCAAAAATCACCTCTGCTGGGCCAACAACAACCGCACCCCGAGAAAGCCCAAGTCAAGGCTCTCCAGTAGATTCGGGGTCTCAGCCAGCGACCCGTCTGGCAGGGTGGAACTGCCTCCGTGGGTTTCTGCGGATGTAAATCCTGAAATCGTGAGCAGAACAGAAAGCCTCGTCTTTTTCCCGTGAGTTGGCAGGTTTCAATGGCCTATTTTTTTTTATGGTGGGCATTTTACATCTGAATATTCATGGCTCAACAGTTTTATTAATTTTCTCCCATATTTCCTATAATGAACTTGTATGACTTTTGTGATAAGGGCAAAATGTTGTTTTTCAAAAATTCTATAAACTCTCAGAGTAGACCAAGTCCAAAATATGTACAATGACTCATTTTTATCTATCAACCGCCTAGATGTGGTTAGGCAGATAAGGCAGCCACAATGCCACGGGATCTGAAGCTAAGCGCTTCCCCCTGCAGCACCCGCGGGCTGGACTTGGATCGGGCTCTGGGCAAACTCGCTGGCTTTGTCTCGAGCAGCCCATGAACTCGGAGGCCCAGCTTAGCCCCCTGCCCAGAGCAGGTGGTCAACAAGTGCCTTTTATTGAATGGAAGCACCAAAGCGGAACGCCCGCCTGGCCGGTCAACAAAGGAAAGCAGCCGAGGAGCCACGTTGCCACCTTCCAGCGCGGCACAGCTTCCTCCGAGGCCGCCCGCCCGGGAAGGACCGGAAGGCCGCCATGGCCTGCCGCCATGACAGTCGGCAGTCCCTCTACCCCCTGGTCCCCCAGAACTGAGAGAAAGTGAGAAGAGGCACCCCGGAGTTCACGGGGCCTGGCACACAGGCGCGACAGCAGCAGCGCCCCGATCGGTCCGACACTCGCCCGCGCGGCCGTGGGCGCTACGTGGCTTCGAGACCGGAAGGGCCACCGACCGACCGTGCGCGCGGGCTTCCCGCATTCCTCCCACCGCCATGGCCACTTACACCCGACACTGGCAGGGCGCGCTGAGGCCGTGAGAACTTTATAGTCGCGACACCACGGCGCCCACGAGGGCTCCGGACCCCCGACTTACAGGCGAAGAGTGTGGACTGGGTTCCACCCTCTACTTCGTGGCCTCAAATTCCCACCTCCACGGAGCGGATTTCAGAATCCGGGGGCCCTGTGTCCACGTGGTCTCACGGATTCCAGAATCCTGGGGGTCCGGAGCCCGCGCGCTCACTCACCGGTCGCCAGAGGCCGCCGAGGCAGCGAAGCGCGGACACCGACGTGGCAGTGGATTTCGACGTGGCAGTTCTCAGTGAAGTGGCCCAGGCGCCTTCCTTCGTGCGCCACGCCCCCTCTGGGGCCGCCCCTCGGGGTGCGCTGGGTGGGCGTCGCCAAGAGGCGATGATGGCCCGCCCCTCAGCCCTCGCTTCCAGCCTCTGCAGCACCGCAGTTGTTTCTTCTCTGTGCTTGGGAATGAGCCAGGCTGCCCAAGGGTGGTCTCACCGGAAAGTGGACTTACAAGGAGCGCCTTGGGAACGTTTAGGCCTATTTTCCTCCAGACGCCCACTACCCGCGTAGGGTGCAGAAGGGACTTGGACGGGCTCTTGGCTCCCAGGTCTTCCTGAGATCATTTGTGAATCCTCCAGAAATGGTCTTGGGCCAGCCAGGATTCAGATTGCTCCTGGTGCTAGCCCTTGGCGAGGTGGGAGGAAAACAGAATGGGCACCATTTTTCTCCCAGGAGCGTCTCCTAATCCTGCCAGGAAAACAAATCATGGGCATTTATTACCACAATCTGACTGCTATACAATAGTTCTTTTCCATCGACCTTCCATGACATCAGGGAGCCCTGGTGGTCTGGTGGTAATGCAGTGGGCAGCTAACCACAAGTTCAGTGGTTCAAAGCCACCAACCACTACATGGGAGAAAGATGAGGCATTCTACTCTCTTAAAGAATTAAGTCTCTGAAACCTACAGGGCCAGTTCTTCCCTGCTCCAAAGGGGCACCATGAGGCGAAATTGACTCTAGGCAGTGAGTTTGGTTTTTTCCCCATGACATCAGGGAAGAGAGCTCACCAGCATCTCACCAAATGTAGGGTGGTGGGTTAAAGAGATAGTGCCTAGAAGTTTCAAAGTTCTAAAAACTCTGAAAATTCACTTTGAAGTGGGTACCTCAGAAAGATGTGCAGAAGAAATGGGGTCAAGTAAGATCTACCCCTCATGCCTGTATTTAGACCTCTATAAATACCTCTTAGTTCTTTCCTCTATTTCCTTTTACTTTCCTCTTGTCCCACTATCATGCTCAGCCTTCATTTGGGTTTCAGTAATTCCTCTTGGTTACATTGCCCTTGATCAAGCCCTACCAGGCCTCCTACATCCTCCTCGCCATCCATTTTGGATCACTTATTGTTCCCTTGTCCCTGGGCTTGTTAACACCCACTTCCTTTCCCCCACTTCTCCCTCTCCCATGTCCCCCAGGAACCGTCAATCTTGTTGTTTTCTCTTACAGATTGTTTATCCAGTCTATATTATCTAGATAGACCTACAGAGATAATAATATGCACAAAAAACAAGACAGAACAAAACAAAGCAACAAAATACAAGCATGTACATATGTAAATATATCTATATGATGATGGGGAAATAGGTCTATGTGCTTATATTTATAGGTTTAGTATTAAGGAGCAGAAAGACATTAGGCCTCTACTCAAGTATTCCCCCAATGCAAGAACACTTTGTTCTATTAAACTGGCATTCCATGATGCTCAACTTCCCAACAGGATCGCTGAAGACAAAGCAGGTGCATAAGCAAATGTGAAGAAAGCTGATGATGCCCGGTTATCAAAAGATACAGTGTCTGGGATCTTAAAGGCTTGAAGACAAACAAGCAGCCATCTAGCTGAGAAGCAACAAAACCCACATGGAAGAAGCACACTAGCCTGTGTGGTCACAAGGTGTTGATGGGATCTGGTATCAGGCATCAAAGAACAAAATATCATTCTCATTGTGAATGAGGGGGCGTGCAGAGTGGGGACCCAAAGCCCATCTGTAGGCAACTGGAGTTCCCCACACAGAAGAGTCATGGGGAGGAGACAAGCCAGTCAGGATGCAGTATAGCAACGATGAAACATACAACTTTTGTCTAGTTCTTAAATGCTTCCTCCCCCCCCCCCATCATGATTCCAATTCTACCTTATAAATCTGGCTAGACCAGAGGATGTACACTGGTACAGAAATGAACTGGAAACACAGGGAATCCAGGACAGATAAATCCCTCAGGGCCAATAATGAGTGTAGGGATACCAGGAGGGGAAAGGGAAGATGGGGGAGAAGGGGAGAACCAATCACAAGGATCTACATATAACTCCCTCCCTGGGGGATGGGCAGGAAAGTGGGTGAGGAGAGACGTCGGACAGTGTAAGACATGACAAAATAATTTATAAATTATCAAAGGTTAAGGGGGTGGGGAGATGAGCTGATACCAAGGGCTCAAGTAGAAAGCAAATATTTTGAGAATGATGATGGCAACAAATGTACAAATGTGCGTGACACGATGGCTGGATGGATGGATTGTGATAAACGTTGTATGAGCCCCCAACAGAATGATTTACAAAAAAAATCCACCCCTCAGTCATGTCCTTGGGATTCCCAGGTCCTCTCACTACTGCTAGAAAGTCTGACCAAGTAGTCATTGGAGGTGCCAGGTGATGGGGAAAACCAGTGATTCCGTCGAAGCGCCCCAGGCCAGGAAAGCAGAGACCCTGAAGCACCATGGACTGCAACCAGCTGCTGCACACCTGCACAACCCAAGTCGCCACTGTGACTTCACGGTGGTCACTGATTTCCCCACTCCGTATCGGGGTAGTTCACAATGATATGAATATGTGCATGTGGTGTGGTTAGCTGGTGGTCTGACTAGTAATTTCACTTTCGTTTATTTAAAAAATCTTAAATTGTCAATTAGGTGTAGGTTTAACACAACCGAGCATAGTTTTATATCTAACAATTCAGGCACATGCATCTCTGGCGGTCCCCTCCTTCAACCATCACTTATCCCTCCCTGGGTTTCTGGTTTCCATTCTTTATTTCCTAACCCTTCTGAACATTGTCCTTTTGATCTTAAGTGCTGACTATTCGAAGGCGGGGTTGATCTGTGTATCTTTGCAGAGAAAAAAGTCTAAGGAGAATACATTCATTCACCTCCACCTATTTCACATCAGACCCTAGGATACAAAGAAGCACAGCAAGGGTTGACTGTCTCGCTTGAGACAAATGGGTAAGCCCAGGAGGAGGTTTTATTATTTTTAATTACTGACTTTTTATTCTTGGTGATAACCAGAGTGTGAATAAGCCCCTTCCTGGCCACACCCAAAAAGGTTTTCGTTTAAAAAGAGAATGCCGCCTTCCCAGGGAAGGAAATATGGGCCTACCCAACGACTAATCCCGCTCACTTCCCAGGAGTCCACACAAGGGTACATCTGGTTTCCCACGGTGCGACCCGCCACGAGGCTCGCGGCCCAGGCACCCGGAAGTGAAAGCACCGCGATCCAATCCGGCTAAGCGTGTCACGTACCCACCCGCAACCCTGGCGACCAACCCGAAACGCCACCGCGGGCACCGTGGGGGGTCCGCGCGCTCGCAGCAATTGGGCTTCGCAGAAGTGACGTCGCACCGACGGCAGTGCCGGAAACGGAAGGCGCTGTGCCAGCTGGCGATTGGACACGAAGCCGGAAATGGAAGCCCGGGCCGGAATCGGTGTGTGGTGGCGCCTGCGATGGCGGAAGCGGCGGCTGTGGGGGCAGAATCCCTCTCGAGCGGCCAGGCCCGGGCGGCGCGCGCCGTGCTGGGTCAGCTGGTGCTCCCGGGAGAGGAGCTGCTGCTGCCGGAGCACGAGGACGCCGAAGGCCCCGGCGGGGCTGGGGAACGCCCGCTGCGCCTCAGCCCCGCGCCGCGCTCGCGCGTGCGCGTCGTGTGCGGCCCGGGCTTGCGGCGCTGTGGGGAGCGTCTCCTGGTCACCAAGTGCGGCCGCCTGCGCCACAAGGAACCTGGCGGCGGCGGCGGCGGCGTTTACTGGGTGGACTCGCAACAGAAGCGGGTGAGTTGGAGGGGCGGCAGCGAGAGTGGTCCATCTGCTGCGGGAGACTTCCGGGAGCAGCATCTAGTCTGCGAATAATGCCCGCCTCATCTGCATCTTCCTCCTGTGAGCGACCGTGAGCAGGAACGTGGCTTGAGCAGGGCGCCCAGGGGAGAAAGGCGGGGGAAAACCTTAGGATATGATAAGGGAGATAAGGATGGTGACACTTGGTCATTGTCCCCAAAGTCAGGGAGTGACAGACTTTTTCTTTGAGGCCGTAGAGGAAGAAATCGACTCAGTCCACGTCACAAGGAGTTTAACACTTTTCCTGCAATAATAAGTTTCTTATGAGCCGACTTGTCAAGCAATGAATGAGATGGGCATCCTTGGTTGTAGGGAACCCTGCGGCCCTGGACAGCTGTGTAAACACAAGCCAGGGACTTTCTGGGAAGGAAGCTGAAGAGGGTGTTCAGGAATGGTGGATAACGAGAATTACAGAGCTGTAGACCTGAGAGTTTAAGATGTTATTGGTTATTACTGACTGAAATTGGCATGTGATGACGTTTGTAGTAGTTTATATAACCTCAGCCACACACACATACACACAAAAAAAACCCCTCACCACTGCCATCAGGTGGCTTCTGACTCATAGTAACCCTGTGTAGAGTTTCCATGACTATGTCTTTACAGGGCCAGACAGCCTCATCTTTGTCCCAGAGAGCGGCTTGTGGGCTTGAACCACTGACTTTGTAGTTAGCAGTCCAACACCTAACCCATTATGCCATCTGGGCACTTTGAAGTCTGAATAAATAATTTGAATTTTAAAGTACTTTCTAAACATCTCTAATGACGACCATAATAAATTCACTACTAAGGAGCCCTGGTGGTGCAATGGGTTCAGTGTTGGACCTCAAAGCCTGCAGTTCAAACCTACAAGCGGTTCTTCAGGAGAAAGATGAGGCTCTCCATATACATATCCATAAATATTTGCAGTGCTACTGTGAGTTGACATCTACTAGATGGCAGTGGGTTACTTTTAGAAATTGCTGGAAATCATTGTAATCTGTACTGCTCTCATTGTTTGCTTTTGTAGTATGTCCCAGTGAAAGGAGACCACGTCATCGGCATAGTGACCGCCAAATCTGGAGATACATTCAAAGTTGATGTTGGAGGGAGCGAGCCAGCTTCTTTGTCTTACTTGGCCTTTGAAGGTGCGACTAAAAGAAACAGACCAAACGTGCAGGTAATGAGGGGGACCTTTGGTTTCAAAAGTCTGGGGTCGGGGGAGAAAAATTCATTACTTAGAATGTGAAAATATTTAGAAGGTGACTGAATTGTGTCCAAAGAACACATGATCACTCAGGCCCCAAGAGGTCCTGGGCTAGACAGACCACAGATGCGTTCTTTGTTTGTACCATTGGTTCTTGGGGTGCTACAGCACGACCGAGTTGAAAGGTTCTATCTGTTTTCTTCACTATCATGGGCACTGGCCAAGGAAGTCAGGTACAGGCTGAGAGGCAAAGGATGGAAAAGTGGCACCAGTTGCCTTATCCCTTCATTCATCCTGGTAGTTGGCCTTGGGACTGATATCTCACAGTGCGGGGCCGAGTCTTCTTGCCCATACAACCCAGAAGCTGAGTGGTTTCTCTGAACCTTTTAACTAGTGTGTGAACCATTTTTCTTCATGCCCGTACCTGTATCTCCACTTTGCAAATTCAGGCTTGGCTACCCTTGACTGGACTGCGTCAGAGACTTTATTGGCATCCTTGTCTCACTCTCTGGTCTCTCCATCCAAACTTTTCAGAGCCAACATCCTCACCTACTTCCTTTCTCAAAACAAAGTGGTTCTTCAGAGCCTCAAGATTCCTTAACCTGACACGCAGGGGTCTTGCCTCATCCATAATCCTCTCCTCCTTATGACCATGCTTGAACCACACCAGACTCTCTAACAGCCCCCTCACACATAAAGTAATCCCTGCCCTTGTGCCTTTGCTCACTCTCTAAAGCCTTCTCTGTGGACCATATACTCATTCTTAGTAAAGCCACACCCCCAGTCGTGAATCACTTTATTTGAACTTGGTTCTAGCATGTCATCGATGCAGCCTTGAATCAGTGTGTTTGTTCATATGTACCAAATGCCAGCTGCCACCAAGACCAAATGCGTCTGAAGGGCTGTGAATGTTCCGTTTACCTGGAGTTCTCCTAGTCAGTGCTTCCTTGAGTAAAGTGACCACATTCACTCGGTTTCCTCAGTTCCATCATTTTGAAGTTCAGCTGTATGGAGTTTTAAAAGTAAACTTTGCATCGAGAAATAATTAAGGGCGTACCCTGACCCCAGCTATTTTGCTAGGTTAACTTGCATACCACTTCCTTTCTCTAGCCATAAGTCTCCTGCAACCTCTAGGGCAGTGGGATCTGATAGAACTCTGTCATGCTGCTAATCTTCTATATTTGCATTGATCAGTACAGTAGTCACATGTGGTTGTGGAGGTCTTAAATGTAGCTGCTAATTGAACGGAGGAACTGAATTACATTTTAATTAGGTTTGATTTTTATTTAAATGTGTCTCAGTGCCCACAGGTAGCTAGCAGTTAACATAACCAACAGTACTGTTCTCTGGCCATGAGATACCTCCACTCTGAGGATTTTCTAGTGGGGAAAGGGTAGGGGTGCATGTGTTACTTTATCCTCCTTTGAAGAGTCAACTCCAAAGGGGCTGGATTCTGAAGTATAGTTAGACCCTCAGCCACAGAACTGCTGGTGGGCAATCTTGCTCCCTGTGGGGAAGAACTGGAAAACCTGACCTTAGAATGGCTGCCTAAGATGAAATGAACAGTTTTTAAATGATCGTTGCAGGTTGGAGATCTCATCTATGGCCAGTTTGTGGTTGCTAACAAAGACATGGAACCAGAGATGGTCTGTATTGACAGCTGTGGACGAGCCAACGGAATGGGTGTGATTGGACAGGACGGCCTGCTTTTTAAAGTGACTTTGGGCTTAATTAGAAAGTAAGTCCTGATGTCTGTTGACTTGCTTAGCTCCTTTTACAATGATAATGTCTTGGACATCTGGCCAAGCTGTGGGATTTCTTAACCAGGCTTTTTAGCAAGGTCTGAATTTCTCCTCTTCAGTTAAAAATCAGTGTCCTTGTTAGCATGGTTTGTAGTCTTGAATTTAGTCCCATCTCTTTACTGGGCCACACTCAGGTGAATCCATCAAATTCAGGTGTACTTGGCTGTGGGAGGTCTGGGCTGATACTCCATACCTCGGTTTTTTCTTTGTCTGTTCTCCCAGAAGGCCCGCTGTCCTGATATACTTGCCTAAATGTGAAAAGTTGACCCTCCCGAACTTTGAAATCATTTGCGTGCAGATGCAGTTTAGAACTGAACAGAATCACCAGATCTCTGTGATAGTAGGATCAGGTGCAGCCTCCATATCAGTGTTTCCCCTAGTCAGGTTCTCTACCTACCCAACAGAACCAAAGCAAACTCACTGTCACAAGTCAGTTCTCACTCAGCAGCCCTACAGGACAGGGCAGAACTGCCCCCTGGGTTCTGAGACTGTAAGTAACTCTTTATGAGAGTAGAGACCTTGTGAATTGCCTGGTGGTTTCGAACTGTCGGCCTTGAGGTTAGCAGTCCAACATAGAAACCACTACGCCACCGCTCTCCTCTACAAACCTAAAGCTGGGCCATATTAAAAAGCTTTATTCCCAGAGCCACTGGAAGTTCAGACACTGTTGTACATCTCTTCTGACTACAGATTTGCAGGTGTGGGGGACAGAATTAGAGAAGCATATGTTAACTAAGCAGCATCCTTGTGCTTTCAAAGCACTGACCTCAGGTGTTCCCAGTACTCTTAGCACTGTCTCAAATTAAGATCCTAAAGCTTAGAATTACAGTGCTCTGCCATTTAAGGAAAGAGCTCTTCTCTCTTCATTGCAACGCTGGTGGAGGTGAATGGCTTAGCTTTGGTTTCTGTTGGGACAGTCCTCCATTGTGACCTCTGGTGTATTGACACATAGGAAAGAAACTTCTTGAAGAAAGAAGGCAGCAAGTATAGTTACATGGTTTTGTTCTTGGACCAGTGTTGCAGGGCTTTCAGTAACTGAAAAGCTGCCCAGAAAAGGAATCCGTTCTCTGAGAGCATAAGAACGTACCCTACCGCGTGATGACAATTTCATTTTCTTCCTCTTCCTCACCCTCACCAGGCTACTGGCTCCAGACTGTGAAATCATACAGGAAGTTGGAAAACTCTATCCACTGGAGATAGTATTTGGAATGAATGGAAGAATATGGGTGAAGGCAAAAACAATTCAGCAGACTTTAATTTTGGCAAACATTTTTGAAGCTTGTGAACACATGACCACAGAACAGAGAAGACAAATCTTCTCAAGACTGGCAGAAAGCTGATAGATGTGGACTTCTCTGTGGGCCAGTAGAGCCAAGAGACTGGATTTCCATGAGAAAACTTTTCAGGTGAACCTCTCCCCACCAAATCTTCAGATGGCAACTTGAAGGTGGTCTATCTTGTATAATAAAGTATTTTTGTATAAGCGTCACTGGTTTTCACATGCAAATTTCCAGTGAGAAAATCTGAATTATATAATGATGCTGTATTTTTGTTGTTGTTCTTTACAGTAAATTTACTATAAAATGTCATCTCCCGGTATGTTTGTTAGGTGTTAACTCCAGGTTTTGCTAGAGTGCAGCCTGATCACAGTCTGGAAGTCCGCAGTGAAGCCGCTGTTCGGAAAGTGCAGTGCACACATTCTAAGTGCTTGCGATCCAGATTCAGTAGGCACGTGGTATTTTATTCTCATGGGAAAGTACAGCTTGGCCAGGTTTTATTTTGTTAAAACCATTTTTCTAGAAACCAAACTACCTAACTGCTTAGATTTTGAACCAAAAGGAAAAAGCTAATGCTAGAGTAGGAGAGGAAATTCTTCCATACTATTTGGTATTTTATGCCAGGCCCTTAAGGACGAGGATGCAAACTGGCAGCTAGCCCACGTCAGTGGTTCCAGGCTCACTGCTTTCTGTGACAGCATTATAGACCCTCCTTAAAGTCTGTAAGAAGTCCCTTTGGGATAGCAGGGATTATAAAATTCAATATGTTGGTCAAGACCAGTGGCTTTATGTATTCCTACAAATGTCCTTTGTAAGAGCATACATGTACTGGCTGAGCTGTCGTTCAATGACGAGTCATCAGTAGTTGATCCAAGTTATCCAAGATCCTGAATTGTGAAGGAGGGAAGAGAAGTTGTCCGTTGGTTCTTTTATGAGATAGAAAGTTAACTGAATTTAACAGCACACTAATCAGTAGAATTCACTATGTGAACTGGCAAGAGCCACACAACACTCGGACACCAGAAAAGGGATCAGATGTATATACTAGGTTACCTAACACGAATGCACTGTTACTTTCTAGTTAGGGTTTTACCAGGACTGCGTTGTCCCTTTTCAATTTGACTTCAGTCATTCAATGGATATTTAGAATCTGAGGCTCAGAGGAGATGAAGGTACACCCCATCCCAATGAATTGTCCTATTAGGATTCTACCAATGGGAAGGGAGCGAAGCCCCCACGAGTGGATGGGGGGAGAAAAGGGGTGTCCGGAGGTAGGAGCATAGTGCTTTGGGTGTTCCAGGTAGGGATAGAACAGTCCAATGACTGACCCTGCAGTGTATATGGACGCAGGGAATCAGGTCAGATAGGGCGGGGGAAAGTTATACATAGGTTCATGTCGGTTTAGTGAAATTAAACTTGTAACATTTTTCTCTAAAGAGTAAGTCTTCCACAAATTAGTAAGTGGACAGAAGAAATAAAGACACCTAAAGCTGAGGAGCCTTAAGATTTATTAAGTAAACCTAGAGTCAATCTATCTGGGTACTTCTGTGGGCTGTGCCACCAAAGCCTAAAACATGGTCACTGAAAATAGCTTACCATCAGAGTAGCTACCCAAGGTGCCAATAACTATGTACCACCTGCCCTGCTCTTTAGTCACGGCACCTTTCCCTCTGATGCTGGCACTGATGCCCAAGACTGCTCTGGTCATCCACTGTAATGAGGTGGCACTTGAAATCTGTGGGTGTAGGTACAGTGTGCACATAGATTTATGTACACAATGTTGTTAAGGTGGGTTTGGGATTATGAATAAGCCAGACTTACATGGCACTGTGGAGAGCTTTGGACTAATCAAAAAGTCAGTGGCTCAAACCCACCAGCCACACCACAGGAGAAGGATGAGGCTGTGTGCTTAGCTACAGATTGACAGTTGCAAGTCCTCTAAGGACCAGTGTGCCGGAATCAACTCCGTGGCAGTGGGTGTTTCCATTTTTGTTCTAAGGAAAATGAACAGTCTCAGGAAGAGGCTGGATACGCCCACTTCTGTGTGGTGTGCGAGGCCGCGCCAGACTCGCCCTCAGGAGGAGGGCAGGTCCGGAAGCCCCAGCCTCTGGTCTGGTTATCAGGAAGTGAACACAGGCCGAGTGAGAGACGAGCAAACTGAGGGGCCCTCTGGGGGCTGGGGCTCGATGCACAGAGGGGTTGAGAGTTGGAGCCGGAAGAGTGGAGAGGAAGCACACTCTGTCTTCCACAAAAGCCACACCCCCTGCCGAAGCCAGGCCACTGTGCAAGTCCTTGTCACACTGCTGCCTGGGAGTGGGCGGCTGGGAACTGCTAGCAGGATTTGACAGCAGCCCTTCTGACAGTTACCTACTCGGCCACCAACATAACCTACTGATGACCCTGCCCTAATGCAACCTTCACTCATAGGCACTTTCCCCTCAAAGGCTTGGGAGTAAGTAGTGGGGGCCAGGCTGTGGCTACGCTCTACTCCAGTTAGAGGACAAAATGGCTTGTGGAGGAGAATGCTGTGACAGATGTGCCTGAGTGCCCGTGGCGGTGATGACGTCTAACTAATTAGGAGGCCACCTCAGACCTGAGGTCTCCAGCTGCTCCGCATGCCGGCCACTCATCTAGTCAGCCAGTCTCCTGTCCGTTAGGGCTCACCAGGACCTACATGGAGGCTGTGCTTCCTGCAGCCATGGACAGGAGGGGAGGGAAGCAGGCCGAGGGATAAGTCGCATGTGCCCCAAGTGGGCTTGTCCAGACGTGGTCCCCTGACCACCACCTGCATCAAAGCAGTAGGGCAAATACCAAACCCCAAGTTCTGGACTCTGCTTCAAAACCCCCCAAACTAACATCTGTCTGGTCAAGGGCAAGTTCTGTTGCAGAGTAGAACATCCCTGGAGGGCTTCCAAAGCTGTTCTCTACAGGAGCAGACTGCCATCACTTCCTCCCAACCAGCATCGGTGGGGTCGAAACACCTGCTTTTTGCTTAGCAGCCAAGCCCATAACCGCGTGCCACCAGGGAGCCTGGCCTCCACTGCGGACCCTGAAGGCGGGCAGGGGAAGGCAGGACCTGGCACTTCCGGCCAGCCTCACCATGGAGGAGCTGGTCCAGGGCACTGGCTGAGTAGCTTTCCCTCTGTCCCTGGGACTCCGAACAGAAGGTCAAACACCAGGTGCCACCTCTTTCTAGTGAAGTCTCTCACCTGTAAACTGCCAGGAAGCACAGTAAGACCTTCTGCAGCGGTTGCTGGGATAATAAAACACAAGGACACGAAGCCCTTGGCATAGTCTCTGGGACACAGTAAGTGCTCAATGGCTGTTGACAAACGTTAAACATGGAAGTCACTGGAGAAACCCAAGCCCTGGTGCTCCTGGTTTGCTCAGGCAGAAATGGCAAAAGGCAGGTGCTACCGCAGACCCCATTCACCTCTGTGGCTTTATTAGATAGGTTGGGAAAGGCTGGAACAGAGAGTAAAATCAACCTAATACTAATGTGTAGTATGTAGGCCACATGTTCGCCTTCCTCCGCATTTGGGTATTATGTGACGATGTCCGTTGGCTGAGGACACCCCACACTACCAATAGAGCTCAAGACTCTGTAGTCAGGTAATGGGAGTCCCATTGCTCACAGAAGAAAGCCAAAGCAGGAGAGAAAAAAAAATGCAGGGTAGAGTGTCCCCAAGTTCTTTAGGTGCTGGTGAGGCCAAGCAAATGCCACCACACCACGCTGCTCTCCTGGACACAGGCCTCCACAGCAGCACCCTGAGAGGGAGAAAGTGTGGTAGCTGGTCTCTGGGCTGGGGTGGGCCCCCGAGGCTCCCCTCACCATGAGAGCACCCCTTCTCACCAGCGGCTCTCTGCTTTTGGCAACTGCAGTCAAGGCTGTCTATCATCCCACTGAATTCTGAAGGACGTAACCCTTTCCAGGAGAAACACCTTTCTTCAGCGCTTCTGGCCAGCTGCGAGTCTCGAAGTAAGTGGACAGGATATCAAACACTGTCGGCGGTGAGCAGAGAAGCCAGGGAGCAGAAAGAGGAGAGAGAGAGAGAGAACTGGTCAATGACTGATGAAGAGGAGGGGGTTCTGGATTGTCTGCACCACGTGGGGCACTAGGTGCTGGGAAGCCGAGGCCAACAAAGACCCCGGCTCTGCCTGCCTGCCTGCCTGCAGGGAGCACAGGCTGCACTGGGAGAGCAGGCCGCCGGATGGATGCTGCTCCCAGAGAAGGGGAGCCCACACTCCAGTTGAACAGCAAGGAGGGCTTCTGCCTGGCCTGAGAGGGAGAGGAGAGCCAGCCCTTTCAACTCTCTTGAACGTAGTTAGGAACCAGGGAAGAGATGAAGACCGTCTCTGAGTAGCCAGCATACGTGTGACAAGGTACATGCACTAAAGAGTCCCAGAGGCGATGGAGTCGGGGCCCCTTTACAGTCCCACAGGCAGAGCAGCACAGACCAAGCAGGGCATGCCCGCGCGAGCGCACGCACTACCTTGATTGATGGCCAGTATCTCGGAATGATAGTTCTTCTCGTTCTGGCGTCGGACCATGTACTCCTGGATGGGCAGGCGGGCCGTCTGGACAGAGTGTTCCCGGGCCTTTTGGAATGTCACTTTCTGTCAGGCAGTCAAACATTTCCCTTATTATAAAAGTAATACAGCAATTACATTCTCACTGTAATGTGCACAGCCGAGAGTCCCCTTCACCACCACTCCAATTCCCATCTGGTCACTGTAATGGAAAGACTCCTGCACTGAAAACAAGCAGCCTGTTTGGTGGGGAGGGGTGGGCAGGCGGGAAATGGCAACAACTGCAGCTAAGGAAGCCCACGCCCAGGTCCCGCGTGAAAGTGGCTGGTACAGCAACCCCTTGCTTATTTGGGGGTCATTATCCCCTCTCCTCCCCACCCAATGTGACAACCAAGCAGGAAAGAAGCAAAAAGAGGCGCCACAGTAGCCATAAGCTGTCTCCTGAAGTCCAAGGGTCCAGACCATCAGGGGAAAGCACCTCAGCCCTAACGCAGACCCCTAAGACCCAGTTCGGGTGTATGGCTGTGTCAGCCAACTGACACTAATAGAGAAAGAGGAGACAGGTTCCAAGCTAGGGACAGCAGTAGGATGTGACAGTCAGCAGCTGGAGTACAAGGAAACCCCCTCGAGTGGGTTATGACTCATCATGAGCCTAGGGGACAGAGAATTGCACCTTAGGGTTCCTTTGACTGCTTCATCCCACAGAGAAACCAATGAGCTTGAACTGCCGACTTCATGGTGAACAGCCTATTGCTTAACCCAGGGAGCCACCACAACGCCTTAATTCAAAGGACGGGCTGTGTGGCAGTTACATAATCTCCTGTCAACTTGCAAAGGGGTGGCTTCTGGCCTGTCAATCAGGGCAAAGCTTGATGACGTCAGTTGGAGGCGCTCTGGAGAGAAATAGCTCACCGGAGGCCAGATGCGTGCTCACTCCCTGCGAGACATTCCTGCTGACAAGACACATGGCACTACGCTAGAGCCCTGAAGCTGGAGAAGCCATGTGGAGACCCCTGCCAGTGTTGAGTTGCTTCCACTGCCACTGGATCCATAAGACTTTCCACCCACTGGCCTGTGTTCTTCCTGCATTTGGCATCATCGCATGTGTTGCGTGAGTCTGAAGAGGAATTTATAGATTGGTATTGGGCATATGGGCTAATATCAGACTTACGAACTTGATGTGGACTGGGCTGGGATGTTTTCTCAATAGATAATTGCTCTTTTATATAAAGCTTTTTCTTAACCACTTTAGTGTCTACAAGTTTGTTTCTCTAGTCAACCCTAACACAGGCTGTGAAAATGAAAAAAAAGAGTCACAAGAACACAAAGGCTCAACGAGCTAGACCATTTAGGATCAGAATACAGTAAGTGATGTCCATTTTTTTTCTTTTTTTTTTATGTCCATTTTTAAGCGGGGCCTGAATCTGTGGGAAACTGTTCATCCCCTTGCAGAAGGGCTGCGGGGAGGAGACGAGCCAGTCAGGGTGCAGTGATGAAACACACAGCTTTTCTCTAGTTCTTGAATGCTCTCCACCACCCCCAACTATCATGATCCCAATTCTACCTCCCAAATCCAGTTGGACCGGATGGAGCATGTACACTGGCACAGATAGGAACTGGAAACACAGGGAATCCAGGACAGATGAATCCCTCAGGACCAGTGGTGAGAGTGGCGATACCGGGAGGGTGGAGGGAAGGTGGGGTAGAAAGGGGGAACCAATCACAAGGATCTACATATGACCTCCTCCCTGGGGGGCAGACAGCGGAGAAGTGGGTGAAGGAAGATGCCGGATGGTGTAAGATATGACAAAATAATAACAATTTACAAATTATCAAGGGTTCATGGGGGAAAAATGAGAAGCTGATACCAAGGGCTCAAGTAGAAAGCAAATGTTTTGAGAATGATAATGGCAACACATGTACAAATGTGCTTGACCCAATGGATGGATGTATAGATTGTGATAAGAGTTGTACGAGCCCCCAACAAAATTATTTTTAAAAAAAAGGGGGGACCTGAATCATGAACTGAAGTTTAAATTATACTCTCCTCCCCAAAAATGAGGAGCTGATACCAAGGGCTCAACTAGACAGAAAATGTTTTGAAAAGGATGATGGCAACATATGTACAAATGTCCTTGACACAATGGATGGATGGATTGTTGTAAGAGCTGAAAGAGCCCCCAATAAAATGATTTTTTTAAAATTTATACTCTTCTCCTTGTCAGAAGTACTGGATTCTTCATTTCTGCAATTACAGGGTTAAAGGGAAAGGCTTATTCACCTGGGAGTATGAATAAATTCAGGTTTGGAAAGGGCCTCAAGGGTTTATGAGGCACTTAATGTCTCATGCTTCTTGGGTTCAAATCCTGGCTCTGCTACTTACTATGTACATACAAAAATACCCACACAAGCACATATATGCACGATCCCAGAATATCCCACGAAGGATACAGAGAGGAAACTTGCCTCTGGGGAGGGAGATTTGCTTCTCACATGTATAGATTATAACTATTATATCATGCGCAGGCAAAACAGGTTCATTAGCCAATGAAATCTTAACATCTGTTTGTATAAAGGAAGCCTATCTCAAATCTCCACTGGCACCCCAATTATTCAAGTAAGACTTCACTAACAAAACTGGAGCGTCCCGCTGAGTAGGTAGATAAGTGAAAAGACTCATGTGTGCACAGTAATTGGCCCCAGAAAAGCTCCCTCTCAGGAGCACAAACAGCTGATAAGAAGGCTGAGCCACTGCTTCCTGGGTCAAGGCTAGGATTATGCTTGCAGAATGGGGGGAGGAAGAGGAGCAGCAACTCCAGGGTGACCCTTGTCGGTAGCAAACACTCCCCTTTCAGTCCCTGGCTCTGGGTCTGTATGGCCTGGCCGGGATTGCAGCTGTTGCTGATGAGGGCAGAGAACTTCACAGGGGGGAGTGTCTCTCTGCCGAGAACAGGCTCCTCCTCCCTTCCTTTTTTTTTTTAAATTAAAAGATTATTTTATTGGGGGCTCTTGCAGCTTTTATAGCAATCTAACATTCCTTCTGAGTTCGTCTGCCCTTTAAGTAAGGTTATGAGTGCCCAGGTGCCCCTGAAAGTGCGGTTGCTGGGCCTGGATGGCACACTCACCTTCTGAACGCTTTCATCCACAAGCCCACCGAGAATGTAGACTTTGTTTGGATCAACATCTTCAAGAGCTATGGGGGGAAAAAAAGGCAGGTCATGTGGACCACATGTGGTCTTAGAACAGCTAACTGCAAAGGAGGAAAGGAAGAAGGAATTACTTTGACAGTCGAAGTGTCGTGAAATAAAAAAGAGCGGAGGCTGCCTCAATAAAACTCGAAGCTAAATTTCTGAGTGAACAAATAGCATAAGGCAATTCTTTCTGATACCTAATTAATAAAAAATCAGTATCAGATCCAAATCAAAGTTAGGATTCAGAAAGGAGCTAAAAATGAAAGCTACACAGAAACGTGGAAGAGAATAATCTGACTAACTTAATGCACACAAAGCCATTGACCCAGGAGGAGTTGGTGGGGGAGCTGTCAAAGGAAACCAGACGGTCACCTTGAAGAGGGAGAGCCTAAACTCTGAGAACGTAGTTGGAGGTATGCAAAACACCCAGGGAGGAGTCTGCCCATAACAAGAGATATGCACTTAATGTGAATTCTTTCCTCCTCTTCTGGATTCCTCTGTGGGCGGCTCTAATAAATGTGGCCACAGGAAATACCAAAACAAAGAGCTGAGAGCCAGGCATGAGGCAGAGTCCATGCATAGAGTACATACCATGCTCAGAGTCCGGCGTCAGGTACACCAGGGTGCTCAGAGGAAATAAACTAAAGCAGTCTTCTTCTGTTAGGTCTAGCTGAAAAACAGAAACCATCCATGTGGTGGGAAACGGGTTCAGACTAAGCCTACAATTCAACAACTCGTTACTGGATGCCTAGTGTCTATCACAGCTAGAGGGAAGCCAAAGGGCCACAGCTCTGATACCACTGCTCAGAAAGCGGGGAAGTAGAGGGAACAGCAGGAGAAATGGTCCCTAACAGAGGCACAGGGCCCCACCCCAGGACTGTAGGGAAGGAGGACCACTGAAGGGGACCTTGCGGCGAAAGGAATGCTGGAGCAGGCTCTGTACAGATTCTGACTCACAGTGGCTCTACAGGACAGAGGAGAACTGCTACTGAGGGCAGAGTGGCTGGTGGGTTTCAAACGCCACCTTATGGTTATCACCGAATGCTTAACCCTCGCTGCCACCTTCTTTGGTCCACATCACTTCCAAGAGGATTCTTTCTCTTTCTGAAAAGTCAAGATCTCTGGGAAGGAGCCAGGCTTGTTCTAGAGAGTTCTCTCCATAAGTGAGGTCTAGCACAGAGTCTGTTCCTGTTGGACACTCTCAAGTCATGCATGTGATGGACCAGAGCTACCTCATGGGGTTTTCTAAGCTGTCATCCTTCTGGCTCCCTGGGAGGGAGCCCTGGTGGCATAGTGGTGATGACAGGTCAGCAGTTGGAAACTGTGAGAGAAGAGGGGGTGGGCGTTCTACTCTCACAGAGTTAGTCTCGGAAACCCACAGGGCACTTCTACCCTGTCCTGTAGGGTCACGAGCAGTCTGAATTGACTTGATGGCAGTGAGTGAGTGGGTGAGTGAATGAGTGGGCGAGTTGGCGGATTAGTGAGTGAATGAGTGGGCGAGTTGGCGGATGAGTGAATGAATGAGTGGGCGAGTAGGCGGATGAGTGAGTGAATGAGTGGGCGAGTTGGCGGATGAGTGAGTGAATGAGTGGGCGAGT